TGTCCAGGCCCCGGCGGGGTGGGGGCAGCTGATCCTCGGGGGGAGGGTTGTCCAGGCTCTGGCGCGGGGTGGGGGTGGGGAGCTGACCCCGGACGGGGGTGTCCCGGAGTGGGGCCCGTCACTCACGTGATAAAACATCTTCCAAGCGGGTCAGGAGCGAAGACCGGCAGGAACCCGCCACAATCCCCGCCCCGCTCCTTCCGCCACTCTCCCCGAGCTCCTCCCTCACTGCTCCACGGGAGCCCCGCCCCTCCAAGAAACCTGTAGGGTTCTGTGCGCATGCGCTCCTTGCTGTCACAGCGGCGCCTAAAATATCATGGCAGCCGCCGAGCGAGCGGCTGCCGCGCTGGCCAGAGGACGCCAGGGGGAGCTCGGGGTCTGGCCGGTCAGAGAGAGTAGGAGGGAAACAGTGATTGACATCGCGAAGGGCGGGGCGCACAGTCATTGACAGGAGGTGAGTTATACCAAATCCCGTTTTATTGGGCAGTCAGGTACAAAAATAAACTCTGGAAAGCGACATACCCCTCCCACGTGCCTGAGTCAACAGCCCCCCCCCCCCAGCTCCTGGGAGCTCTGTAATTCCTCCCCCAAATCCCAGTCTGAGACCCCCCCATCCCCAAAATCTATCTCCAACCACGATTGATCCACAAGACCTCACCCACCTGAATCCCCACTCACAGGGAGCCACCCCCTTCAAAACTCCCTGAAATTCACCCACCGAGGGGGCCATGATACCCCTGCAACAAATCCCTGATCGTGGCTCCTGGGAGTCGAGTTCAGGGGGCTGCGCCTCACAGTATGGCACAGCTTTCCATTGCCCACCCCTCCCCCAGCACACCCCACTCTATACAGAACCCCACCACCACTTCCCATTCTCTGCACACACCTCACATCTTGGTCTGAGAGCACCAAGTGCTCAGATCCACACATACACGTATGGACCCTGCCCCACATTAAACACACACGCTCAGCCCCCTAAGCCACTTCTCTAAACTAGTGCAATATCCTCTATGGTAAGCAATACAATAAATGGATCAGCAGTCCTGGAAAGAGGAGGAGACCCTTTCTGAGCCCTACCCCACCCCATGGGAGACTGTCTCTGAGCCATAATCACCCTGCCCCAGAGGAGACTCTATCAGCTCACAAAGAGATGGGAGACCTTTGGAGATCTACAGCCCTTGGCACTTTGAGACCAAGACCCTGTGGTCAAGGGACAGATTAAACCCAAACATTTTGCATTTAAGTGCCTTTAGGTGGCTGTGGGTCTTTGTTCCTCTAGCCCCTATGGCCACAGCTGTAGCACCCAGCTCTCGGTGCTGGCTGTATCACTCTCCCCACACCAAACTGTATTCTCTAAATCTGCATCGGTTCAACCGCTAAAATGGCATCACAGCTGGCAGGGCCACAGGACAAGGGCCCAGGCCCCTGCAATACAGCAAGCCACATCTAGCCATGGGTCACTGCTGCAACCAGCCCCTCCATTCAGCCCTGGGGCAGTGCCACTTTGCACTGGCTTGCAGCCTATGAACTACTTTTGTTCCTAATTCTTCCTGCCACTTCCCCAAGACCTATTTTCCTCCCCCAGCCCGGAGTGCAGGAAGCAAGTTCCAATCCAGCACCTGTAAGTGGGACCCACCTAAAAAAAATACCCGTCATGAAACTGGAGAATTTCAGTTCCCAAATAAAATTTAAGGCTAGCTCCTCTCCCTGTGAAGGTGCCCATCCCTTCTGGGAGAGGGTTTTAGACCCTGAGACCATAGGCACTGAGTTGTTTTTCTCGCTGCTTGCTTCTCCCCCTATCCACCCCTCCCCCACGAGACCCCTTGCCTGCTGCTTGTCCTCTTTACCCTCCCCGGAGTGCCTCCCGTTAGTTGCCGAAGAGCTGTTCGGTTGCCAGCCACGGGCCCCAGCCAATAGCTGTGGCTGGTGGGTGCTGAGCACCCCCTATTTTTTTTTCTGTCGGTGCTTGAGCCCGAGAGCACCCACCAAGTTGGTGCCTATGCCTGAAATTTAGCTAATGTCCACGTGCCAGGGCCCCACACCTCCAGCTTCAGAGTGTAGCCAGGAGGCAAGCACCACGGCACTAGTGCTGACAAGTCACATGCTGGCATCCAGGGCCCCCTCAGGTGTTTCATTGCTGCTGCCTGCACTGGTACTTCTTCGGCTAGTGGGATCCCTCCCGGAGCAGGGGGGAGCAGAAGCAGTCTGGTGCAAGCTGCCATAGCGCTGGATTTCCAAGGGACGCTGCATATGTACATCCAGCTGAGGAGAGGTCCTGGGCCTGGCCCAGCATTCGGGCGGGGAACTGCTCTCAGTTTTTGGTGGCACAGCTGGGCTTGGGGCTGAGTGGCTGTGAGTAGGGAGAGCTCCAGTCTCGATGGAACACAGCTTCTAGCTGCTCCCGCAGGGTGAGCTGCGTAACCCCAGGAGCAGCGTCACTCTGGTTGACGATCAGCCCCACCCCTGCAGTGTTGGTGAAGTAATCCTCAGACCAGTTTGAGGTGCCTGCCAAGAGAGGGGCAAACATCAAGTCTGCAGGGAATCAACACTGACTCATTCAGGGGCCCAATCGTGGCTAACACCCCTTCTCTGCTCTAACCCACTGAACCCCACTCCCCTCCCAGTTCTGGGGAAGAACCCAGGAGTCTTGGCTCCCAAAACTCCCACCCATCACTGGACTTTGAAATGCTGTAACTGGTCCCAGTGATGGCTTCTCTGGCCTGCTTAGCCCATGATTCCAGACCCTTGGGCTGATCCCCCACCCCATAGCTGGGGAGGCACACACCAATGTAGGCTAGGCGGTCGGTCACCATGTACTTGTTGTGGTTGACACGGGAGAAGGGAATCTGTTTCTCCTCAACCGACGTGGAGACAACAAAGAGTTTCTGAAAGAGACAAACACAAAGTCACCTTTGAGCCTACAGGTCTAGCATGTCCTGGTATAACCTACAAAGGATGGTTTAGGTTAAGAAATAAGTAAAAGTTAAGCTAACTTAGGCCCAAAACCTAAGTGTAGAGGAGTATGGGAAACTGACATTGCTAGTGTGAGAAAGTTAGAGATAAGCTGGAGATACCATCTTATGAGAAAATAAGCGTTAGCAAGGACACAACCCTGGATAAGCAATGTAATTATTCCAATGTAAGTTTATAGTGTAGACCTGGCCTAAGATTGTAGTACTGTGTAAGTGATAATGGCGTGCCTGTTTGCTTATCTAAGGATTTTTCTTTTTAATAAAGTTTGGTTGTAGCATTCAAAGTGTCACCTAGTGGTCCTCTACTAAATACATTTTCTGTAATTGACTAGAGGCTCAAAACTGAAAACTAAGATGGTTTTATTGCAATTTAGCTTTAACAACTTAATATTAATTGGGAACTTTTCAACACAAAGGTTGAAAAAAGATTACAGAGGTAATCTGTGACCCCTTGCCAATGCAAGGCACTGACATAGAGAGAACTTCCTACCAGCTGGCCCCTGGGCTGAGTCATGGAGTGGAACGGTCCCCCAGCCAGCCCCAGCCCCAGGCACTTCAGGTCCCTATTCCTGCACCACTCCAGGACTCACCACTTCGATCGGGCAGCCCAGAGGCTCCCGGCTGAGGACACTGAGCGACTCCAGGAACAGGAACATGGACTGGTCCGAGTGCTGCCAGCAGCTAATGAGCAACCTCACCTTCACGTGCCTGTTGCAGGCCGCAGCACGCAGTGCATCATCAATGACCGGCCAGAACCTGGAGGGCAGCCCAAGGAGACCAGGTCAGGGGACAGGACACCTCACATACAACAGCCCCCCAGCCCCCCAAATGCCAAGACCTTGGGCCACAGCCTCACAACTGCTCAGCCCCCGGGTCCCAGCCCTCAGGCCATGGTCTCCCAACTGCCCACCCTCTGGGTCAGAGCCACCCAACTGCCCTCCCCTCTCCCCAACCAGCCCAGTCCCCAGGTCATGGTCCAGCCCACCCACCCCCCATCTGCCCAGCTCCCTAATAACAGCACCCCACCTTGCCCACCCCCAGCCATTTATCTGACATTCACTAGTGCCAGCCTGTGTCTGGCCCTCCATCTCTCCTCCCCATCCTCACTGTCTGCAGAGCCCAGGTTGTCCCTGCTGCCAGCCTCATGGGGGAGGATAGCACAGGACTCCCAGCTGTGTCTAGAAGAGACAATGTCAGGGGAGCTGACTGCCTGTACCCCACTTTCAGCCTGCACATCCTGTGGCCCCCACCTCTTAGGCTGGCAGAAGGTGCACTGGGGCACATAGTCCATCACCGAGATGTAGACAAAGGCCTGGGCATCCTGGATGGTGCTGACAATGGCTGTGAGGTCTGGGGTACGGCCAGTGGAGCAGAGGGCGGGAGGGGAGCTCTGCAATACAAACGAACACAGATACAGAAACAGGCAGGACGTGTGTCAGCACAGAATCCAGGAGCGAATGACGGGGCCTTCTGGGGCTCAGAACCCCTCAGGGTCAGTGTGTGCCACAGCACAGACTCTGGGGAGCGAGTAACAGGGCCTCCTGAGACAGGGAGAGGCCCCTGGCAGAGAGTTCTAGGTGGCTGCCCCCCATGCACTGGAGAGCCATCCAGGCCAGCCCCAGAGTCCAGGAAGCAGCCACGATTTGCTGCCTGACCCGACAGAGCCTACTTGGACACTTACGGAGAGGTACAGTTCTGCACTGCTGCCATTGAGCTGCAGCTTCAGGGGGCGGCTGAGGCTGGACTTCGCGGAGACATAAGCCGGCCACACCGTCGGGAGTGAGGCCCCCTGCCCTCCCAATGCACGGTACATGGCGAAGATCCGGTGCAAGTCACCAGCCACACAGCTGCAGTTGTAGAGCACAGCACCCAGCTCCTTTACCTGCAAGGAAGAGGTGTTTGGGAACAGCCACGCAGCAAACATGACCTTGCCCCAGCTCCAACAGGAGCCCCAGGCTGAACTCTAAACCCCAGGAGAGTGAGTGCAGCCCCAGTGGGCAGCCAGCCACACTGCCCAATGCCCAACTCCAACATGAGCCCCAGCTCCAGTCCTAACCCTGCCCCACAGGGACCCAGGAGAGTGAGCTCCAGTCCCTGTGAGCACTCAGTCCCCCTGCGTGCCCCCTGCAGTACCTGTGTCAGTGAGCGCCAGTCCCTGTGAGCACACCTCCCCTCTTTCCACACCCTCCCGAGTGCCAGTCCCTGTGAGTAACCTCCCCTCTGTCTGCCCTCTACCCGCTGTAGTACCTGTGTCAGCGAGCGCCAGTCCATGTTGGCGCTGCCAATGTAAACGTGCTTGCCATCCACCACCCAGAACTTGGTGTGCACAATTCCTCCAGTCAGGCGCTCCAACTCCACATACTTTACATCTGCACCTGCAGGGGGCACCAGCAGAACAGTGGCTATCACACAGAGACATCCTTTCCCGCTTCTCTCAGCCTGGCTATCCCAGCACAGCTGGGTGGGGTCTTGTCTGCCCCTTTCCTAGGGCTGACACTTCCCCTCATGCCCCTATCCCCACCCAGGCTCGGGGGCTGTCCCGACCCCTATGTTACCTTTGCTGGCCAGCTCCTCGGTGTCCCGGTCAGACTTCTGGGGGCTATTCACAGCAATGTTGAGCTTCACCCCCCGAGAAGGCAGGTCCCGCAGCTTCTCCAACACCTGCCTGCCCTGCAGGGAGCAGCATGAGTGTTATGGCTTAGCAACCCCTTCCTTCCCTCTCACCCCAGAACAGGAACTGATAAGGGCTTCCTCCACCTGTGCTGAGCCCACCTGCCAGGATGAGGGTTCTTCCTCCTGCATGTCTGAGTCCCGGAGAGTGAAGTAGAAAGCTGCGATGTCCACAGAGCGGTTGGCAGCATCCAACAGGTCCATCCAGGCCTGGAAAATGGGGAGGTGGCGGGAGTTGAAGTGTTTGTAATCCAGGCCCACAGGGATGCTTTCCACCAGCACCAAACTGCAGCAGCCACAGAGAGAGAGGAGAGATGGGCAGGGTTAGGAGATGGACACCTCAACAGGGGTAGTGAGGGCATCAGTACTTGCCAGGACAAGCAGAGACCAGAGCAAAATCCAGCTCCCTTCCACTCCAAGCATCTGCTGAGTCCGAGACCAAGCACAGCCATCTGCTACCGCCTGCAGAGTCTGTGCTGTCACTATGTGCTACTGCCCACCACCTCCGTGTAACAGCCTGCCCCCTGCAGGATCCCTTACCTGCACTGTGGGCTGCACTCCTCCTCTGGCTCTCTCCACAAGCTGGCAACATGGCTCCAGCCCAGCTGCCACTGCTCCATCAACCCCAGGACAGAGACAGGGCTGCTGTGCTCCCACAGGAACCAACCAGAGAAGCCCAAGATGAGCAGGAAGGGAAGAAGGATGCAGCAGGTGGAGGAGAAAAGGAAATGCTAACAAGAGAGAGAATAGCGCTTAGTGGGGAGCCCTGCCTGGGCAGGAACCAACATAACAAAGGGACACTTCTCCAGGAGCCCCATGGACAAGGACCCATATCTGTGTCCATCCAACCCTTCCAGGGACAGGACGGGGGCTGGTTGGACCAGCTCTGCTCTCTTCCAAGTAGTAGTGTTCAGAACCCAATGCTGCAGTGCAGAGAAAGGTTGCTGAGCACAGTGCTCTCCATGGCAGGGAATGTTCCATTCACAGCGGTTGAGCCAATGATGCCCTCCCACAAGCCGAGACTGCCCCCCAGCCAGTGTGAGAAAGCAACTCTGTGCTCTTACTTCCCTGCCTGTGGCATTAGGGTATGGCTCTGAGGGGAGCTGCCATGGCTGTCAGGAAATGGGTCAGCTGTTTAAAGGGAGACTATGTTAGGCACCCAGTGTGGAGGGGCAAGGAAGGGAGCCTGGTGCTACAACTAGACATGGAGCAGGGAGCTCAGCACATAGACTACCTGGACACTCCAGTGCAGAGGTGTGGATCTCTCCTTTACCTTGCTCGGCTTCCCTGGGTTCTTGGGTCTGGGAGCTGGTGACCTGAGTGCTGCAGTTTCTGTCCACATCGCCAAGCTCGGTGTTCCATGGGCAACGTGCCGCACCCTGGGAGTATCTGTCTCTGTCAGAACTGGAGTCCCAGATGCCACACTCCGCAGTCTGGGAGCTGCACTCTGCCACCTGGGGGTGCTGATCTGCGCCCTGTCCTGCAACCTGCGGGCCCCACCCTGTAGCCTAGGGAGACTGCTGGCTGCCCCACCTTGCAGCCAGACAGCTGTGCCCTGCAGCCTGGGGGTGTTGCTGGCCGCTTTGCCCTGCAGCCTGGGGGCCATGATCTCCGTGACAGTGGCTGTCTCTGAGCCAAGCAGTGCAGTCTCCAGCACCTGCAGTTGGGCTCTCTCATCTCTGAACTCTTGCCAGTCCAGGTTCAGCTTCTGCAGTGGGAGACAGCCAAGCCAAAGGGTGGTCCTTAGCCTGGTTGAGAGAGAGGCAGCCCCCAGTCCCCAAGCATTGTCCCTCTGGTGCAAGGATAAGAATGGCCTAAAACAGCACTGAGCAATAGAGGGGTACAAGTTGGGGCAGGGGGGGCTGCAGAGCCTGAGACCTGGGATCAGCCACTACCTGTGCCTAATGTGAGGGTCTGCTAGCCAGCCACAGTGAGGCTGCTCCAAGCCCCACCTAGAGTGGGCTGGGTAGCATCAGCAAGAGCCACAACCCAAGACCCCTATTACTCATGGGAGGGCCAGACTGTCCATGGAGCTACAGGGCTTGGGGGGGCAGGGAATGGGATATGGGGCTTTCACTGATAAAGCGCCCCAGCTCTGATCCAGTCCCAGTGCATAGGGATTGGCTGGCTCAGTCAGGTCGGGTGTGGGAGATGGGGCCTTTTGCTGCTAGAAGGCATCAGCTCCGATCCAGCCTCAGCATCAGGGAGGACTGGTTGGCTCAGGAGGCTGGGGAATGGGACACGGGGCCTTTTCTCTCTAGGGGGTGCTGGCTCCCATCCAGCCCCAGATCAGTAGTGACTGAAACCCATTCTAATCTGAGAGCTGTTTGCTGACCCCAGTCCATCAGGCAGATGTCCCCAGCACAACTGTTCCTGACTGGTCCCATTGTGGGCAGCCTCAGCAGAAGGGACTGTGGACACAGAACACCCCTCTCACCTCTAGGGGGAAATCCAGGATGGCTGAGGCATAGGGGCTAGAGAAGGGAGGGACCACATTACCTCTTTCTCCCCTGAGCTCTCACTTCGGGTGGGGAAAAGCTCCTCCTTTTCTTCATCCTCCTCTGAGATCTGCAGCCTCTTCAGCCTCACATAGGGTGACTGGAAGGGAAACAAAAATAGCCAGATATCAGCTCTGCCAGAGGCTGCACAGTCCCTGAGAGACGCTACATGGGGCTAATGGAGACAGCGGCCCATCTGCATAGTCTGTACAGCACCAAACGTCCTATCCCTGTGGAGCACTGGGAGGGGCTAACCCACCAGTAACAGCTAGGGGTGAGGGAGAATGGGGGAAGGGATCACTCCAGACCCAGACATGCAAACCAGCACAGACAAGACAGAGCAACTCACCAAGTGGGCATCTTGGTCCAGTGCCACCCATCTATTGCTCCTGGAAGCCTCCAGCCTTGCTGCTGGCTTCCGGGAAAGGCCTCTCTTCATCGCAGTCCTGGTGGGTTCATCCTTGAGCTGGGGCAGTGGAGGCTCCCTGGTTAATATTGGCAAGGGCTCCAGGGCTGACCCAGCCGAGGGCTCCATGGCTGGCACGGGGGTAGGATCACTGGCTGGAGTGGGCGATGGATCCCGGGCCGGAGTAAGATGCAGTTTGTGGGCCTTGATGCTGGCCCGGGGCTGCAGAACGAGGGGAAAGCTCCCTCCCTCAGCACTAGGCACCTCGCTCAGGACCTGTAGAGGAGTGTGGAGCCCTGGTTAATATTCCTCTCCCAGGTAGAATAGGAGCTGGACACTGACGCTGGGAGCTGCCCACATCTGCAGGCTCAATTTCATCAGAGATTACAAATTAACAAGGGATTGTAGTTTACAGCGCTGTTAATCCTCATTACATTTGGCACTTTACCTAAAGCCTCAGCTCCTGTAAGAATTGCAGCTTGCCCTTAAAAAAGAGTAAGTTTCTAGCCCTCGTGATTGCAGAGAAAAGCTTGAAAACATGACCCCGGTATGCTCCTAACAGTCCCTAGGTGTGTCCTGGGCATGACCCTAAGAGCTCAAATGAAAAGGAACATACATTTATTCTTGTTTTTAAATTTCATTATTTCTTGGGGTTGGTCAGAGGTGAACTGGTCCTTTAAGGGGGAGGAGGGGCTCAGCCTCACTTGTGCTAAACTTAGCCCACTTCCCCAGGTGAAGGGAATGACACCAGGGGACCCTGACAATGGCATGTAACTAGAAACCAGGCCTGCTAGGGAACATAAGGGGCAGCCACAGAGTGGCTGGGTAGGGCATATGTATTTGTTGAGGAATAAGTCTAAGTTGCAGGGAATAGAAGCTTATTAGGAGGGCTGAACTGCTATAAGCAAGCGAAAGCCCAGATAAACTGAAAGGGGGAGGTTTGATAGTACTAAACCACCCCCAGAAGAGCAATACTGTGAAAACACCAGCTGTGGTGGGTGGTTTGATGTGAGATGGAAGAAAAACTGAGACAGTGGCAGGGCCTGAAGCCAGACTGTGTAACCCTGCTACCTGGCCTGCCTCTTGATTGGTTAGTGGTTTTGGGGTTGGCAATACTGGATTTAGAACAGCGAGACCTGTGCCTCAGGGTAATAAACCATCAGGAGGGAGAGGACACCAGGTACCCAAACCTCTCTCCAGTATAGTCCCAGAATGGTGCTGGGTGAGAGACTTCCCCCAAGGTAACTCCAAATCCCAGGTAAGAAATTGCCCCTTGGGGCTGAAAGCTTGTTCTTGGCACAGAGGGATGTTTTCTTTGTAAAATGAACTTTGGTCACTTTTCCTTGCCTTTTTTTTTTTTTATCTTAAAACTTCAGTCCTCGCCCACCTGCAGTGGCTCTACAGGCAACAGAAGAGTTGGTGGGTTTGTGACACCACAAGTGACAAGGAAGTGAAACCTGACTCTCTGAGCAGAGAGAGGGTTTTTTATTCAGGCTGTTTAAAACCTTCAGTGAATTGCTGACATTTTTTTCACTCCAACACTATGGCAAGGGGAGCTCCAAGGCATAGGGAGGCAGCGTGTTTTAGTGGCTAAGTCACTGGATTAGGGTCTAGTCCTGGATCTTCCAAAAACATGACCTTGGGCAAATCTCTCTGTTTCCCCGCCCAGCCTTTGTCGAGTAGAGTACAGGGTGAGCTCTCCAGGGCAGGGAGTGGCTCTTGCTGTGTGTTGACAAAGCACCTGTCTCTGCAGAGTCCTGATATTGGCTGGAGTCCAGGCAATACAGTGTCACAGATGTTAGAGCCAGAAGGGACCATTCTGATCATGTAAACTGACTTCCTGCATAGCACAGGCCAGAGAACCTTGTACAGCAGTTCCTGCCTCAAGTCCGGAACTAGTGCTGGCTGGAGATTTATTAACAAAACACTTTGGCCAAAAAATATCAGAACTCCAACTGTTCCAGAAAAGGTTTTGGGTTTAATGAATTTCATGCCCTGATGGGAAAAAAAATTCAAGCAGGAAAAACAAATTGGGAAGTTGCTGAAGTATCCCACTCTCAAAACAAAGTTCTGTTTTTTGTTTTGAAAAGTAACTTCATTTACACTGAAAAAAAGAACAGGAGTACTTGTGGCACCTTAGAGATTAACAAATTTATTAGAGCATAAACTTTCGTGGACTACAGCCCGCCAAAGAAGTGGGCTGTAGTCCACGAAAGCTTATGCTCTAATAAATTTGTTAGTCTCTAAGGTGCCACAAGTACTCCTGTTCTTTTTGCGGATACAGACTAACACGGCTGCTACTCTGAAACTGAAAAAAAGGTGGAGGAAGAAAAGTCAAAATTCTCAGAAGGAAGTAATTTGATTAACATAAAGCAAAAAAAATTTAATTCATGACTTTGGCCTGATGTGCAAGAGGGTTTTTACTCTTAAATTCTCAAAATCACTTCCCACTCAACTGTACCCCATAACGTCTGGTTGAGCGAAAGCAGAACTAGAAAAATCATCCAGTCATAATGTAAAGACTGCAGATGATGAGCAATCCACCATGAGGCTGGGTAAATTGTTCTAATGGTTAATTACACCCCCTGTTAAAAGTGCCTTTCTTCTAGTCAGAGTCTTCAGCTCCCAACCATTGGATTGCATTCTGCCTTTGACAGCTGCCGTTAGAACTCTCCTCCCTGTGCAGCAGTTACAGATTGTCATCAAGTCACCTCAATTTTCTTTTGGATTAAACAATAAACCGCCTACTAGCATGAGACTAAGGCCTGGTCTACACTTAAAACTTGGGGCTTGATCTAGCTGCCTGCCTCCGGGTTGTGAAAAAGTCACACGCAGGAGACAGTTAAGCTGACCTAAGCCTTGGGACAGACCTCACTAGGCTGCTGGAAGGGAGGATTTATTACAGCGACAGACCCAGCCATTCGGTGGAACCCCACGCAGCGCTGAAGCAAGCGGGGATGTCGCTCACAGCAGGGGAGCTGCATGCACCGGTGCCGCTGTGCTGTCGGGCAGGCACAGCCTAGAACAGCGCAGCTTTTCCACAACTTGCCTCTTTCTTGCCCGGGCCCCTCTTCCTGTTCTGCCCTTGCCCAGCGCTCGGGGGTCCTGGCGCGATGACAAACCCTCGGACCGCGCGCGTCACCCACCGAGCGGCACCAGCTGGGGGGGGGGAGGAGCCCCGGCATTGCTGGCCCCGCAGGCCGAGCTCCGAGTGCCAGGTTGCTCGGGGGGCAGAGTCCTCAGCCGAACGCGCCGGCCGGGTTGGGGAGGCGCCCCGCGGGGCCGTGGTGCTGGCTGGGTCGGGGGGCGCCGCGCCGGCCGGAGCCTGCCCCCCTGCCCCTAAAAGCCGCTGAGGGCCTGGGCGGCAACGGCCGCGCTCAGAGCCGGGGCCGCCCAGCCCGACCCGCGGGGCTCCCCGCCCCCTCGAAGCCCCCCGCGGGGGCGCCCCCTGCTCTCACCGTCTCCTCCGCGCTACTCTGCGCCAGGCGCGTGGAGCGCCTCACGGGAGTCCCCGCGCGCAGCGACCCCCGTCTCCTCATGCCGGGCGGGCGAGTGGCGGGGAAGGAAGAGGCGGGCCCGGCTCCCGCGCCCGTTGACATTCAAACCCCGGGGCTGGTTTGAAATGACAGCTGGCAACGCGCCGGCCCGTGCCCGCGGCGCGGCTCCCCCTGGCGGCCGACTCCCTGCCCTCCGGGGACAGGCGCCACGAGCCCGAGCCGGGCCATAGCGGGAGGCGCCCCTCGGCTGCCGCAGCCCGGGGGAGGGGAGCAAGAACCCCTACGGAGGGGCCGGGACACTCCGTCGGGTATCGGCTGCCTCCTGGTGCCCGAGGGGACTTTCACGGACACCCCGAGCGGGGAGGAGACCCCACCCCGCCCCGCCAGGGTGAGGAGCGCAGGGCGGGGAGGGGAACACGGCTGAGGGATCGCAGCGAACAAATAACAAGAAAACAAACTTTCTGCTCTGCCGCCCAACCTCGAGAGAACACAGTATAGCTCCCGCGGCGCTCACCCCGCCTCTCCCTCATGCACACCCCTCATCGGCTACTATGGAGACCGACGTCCCGCCCCCACACGAAATGGAGGGCCAAGTTATTCCACCAATCACCAGACGGGGCTGGTGGAGTGACACCAGGCGTTGACCAATCATTAGGAGGACCCGGGTCTGACCAGTGCCTGTTGAGATGGCTGAAGGGCTGAGGAATATCTTTCTGCGGCCAGTCAGCGGGCAGAGCGTGAGCGTGACATTTTATGGGAAACCAATCAACTGATGAGTCGAGTTGATGGACGGGCGCTTCAAACTAATCGACAGGAATGGAGATTGAATGACAGCGGCCGGTATCCAATCTTCGGGGGAAACCGGAGACTGACAGTGATTCCGAGCCAATCAAGCAGCAGAGGTTGGAGAAGTGGCACAGGCAGGCAGCAGGGGGCGGGAGTAGGCGGATCCTTTCAGGCCGCGGCTTTGTGGTGAGTGGGGATGTGGGGACTAGGGGGCAAAGAACCCCCTGAGCCGGGACTAGTCGCCCTCGCCTCCCCCCGCACCGGGATCCCCCCGGCCCCGCTCCCCTCATGCGGGACCAGAACGGGCCCCTCCCCGCTCCCCTCACGCGGGACCAGAACCGGCCCCTCCCCCCCCCCCCACCGGGACCCCCCGGCCCAGCTCCCCCCAACTGAGACAGGCGCTCTCTGGCCCTAGCCCCCTAAACCAGGATCCCCCTGAGCCCGGCTCCTCCCACCCCCCAATCAGCCCTCTGCCTGCCCCCCCTCCGAGCAGCCCTGGCCTGACCTCCCTCCCCTGGGACCCCCAAGTGCCCCTCGCCTAGTTTCTGCTGTAATGTGGGGGGCAACCACCTCCTCCCTGCCCAGGCTTCCCCACCCAGGCCCCATCCCTAGAGCAGAGACCCCCACGCCAGCCCTCTCCCCTCCCAGGTTAACACCCCTGCAGGCTCCTCTCCCATCTCAGGGTCACGTAGGGGAAGGTGAGACAGGGCCATGTTAACACACGCCACCCATGCTAGAATGGGGGATGCCTGCTCTAGCCAACAGCTAATGCTGGGAAATATTGGGGGGCACCAGCTTCTAGCCTGACCCTGGGGCGGGGGCCCTGCCTAGGGGGATGATGGGAGCAGGGGCTTCTGGCTACTGTAGCCCACAGGAAGAGGAGATTCTGGATAGGGTACTTTGCAGCGGGAGGGGGATAGAGAGGCTCAACATGAGGTGTGAGGGCCCACAATGGAACAGGCTGAAGGGGAAAGGGATGGGGGCGGGTAAGGGACAGATAATGAAAGGTGCAGGGCAAGTGAGGCCCCAGTAGAGCCCAAGAAGGAACGGAGCTCAGACTGAGGCAGCAAGGGGACAGATATGAAGCATGAGGGATGGGCCCCTTATGGGGCAGTCTAGTGGGGAAGGGATGTTTCCTCACCCCCTTCATCTGCAAGGTAACTCTGATTCTCTCTCTCCCCCCCACTCCCAGGGGGCTCAGGGTTATGCCAACTGCTGCTCCATCCTCCTGACCTCCCTTCAGCATGGAGTTCCCTGACCACAGTAAGCACTTGCTGCAGAGCCTGCGAGAGCAGCGACACCAGGGCTTCCTCTGCGACTGCACCATCATGGTGGGCAACACCCAGTTCCTAGCACACCGGGCCGTGCTGGCCTCCTGCAGCACCTTCTTCCACATGTTCTACAAGGAGCGGCTGGACAAGCGGGATCTGGTCTGCATCAACAATGAGATTGTCACAGCACCAGCCTTCGGGCTGCTGCTGGAGTTCATGTACCAGGGCATGCTGGCCTTCAACGACACTCCAGTGGAGGATGTGCTGGCTGCTGCAAGCTACCTGCACATGAATGACATTGTCAAGGTCTGCAAGAAGAAGCTGCAGGCACGGGCACTGGCAGAGGCTGACAGCACTAAGAAGGAGGAGGACTCCCCAGCCAGCTCTGAGTTCCTGCCCAGCACCTCCAAGTGCCAGCTGCAGAGCCCTGAGGTCCTGCCACCACCTCTGCATCTGTGTGAGGCAGGAAAGAACAAGAAGGAGGAGTGGAAGAATAACCCCTTGGAGAAAGCAGGCCCCCAGCAGCCTCCAGCACCAACTGCAGACATGGCAGATACTACCCAGCCAGGCATGGAGGGCGACTCCCCCCGTGGCCCTGTCTTGGGTAGGCCTCTCCCCCCAGTCACTGCAGACGTTTCCCTGTCCAGCCCCAGCAGCTCCACCGAAACCATCTCCCACAGCTACTTTCCCCCAGGCAATGTGGCAGAGGCACCATCCGGCCTGGAAACCATCCCTGAGAGCTTAGCCGTGGAGCCACGGGTGGGCAACTTAGATGGCTTCTACCCCAAGGAGCTGGACAGGGGTCCCATCAAAGTGAAGGTGGAAGCCATTGTGATCTCTGACGAGGAGCCGGACACAGTGGAGCAGCTGGAGAGGCGGAGCATGGAAATGAGGATGGAGAGCATCTTCCAGCGGCCCACAGTGGAGGTGGGGCCAGCTGGGGGCTGCAGTCGCCACCCCGATGGCTTTGAGGAGCCTGGTGGCATAGAGGAGGTGTCCTCAGAGGGCAGCTTCCTTCCACAGGAGCATCTCCCCTACCACATGATCCCAGTGCCGGGTGGACAGGGCTACTCCAACATGGTGACACCACCGCTGCATGAGCAGATGTACCTGCCAGAGTACGAGGCACACCCCAACTTCGGTATCTTCACTGAGGACGTCCCCACCTGCAAGACGTGCGGCAAGACCTTCTCCTGCTCCTACACACTGCGGCGCCATGCCACTGTGCACACGCGCGAGCGCCCCTATGAGTGCCGCTACTGCATGCGGAGCTACACCCAGTCTGGGGACCTGTACAGGCACATCCGCAAGGCCCACAATGAAGACCTGGCAGCCAAGCGCTGTAAACAGGACGTGGAGAACCCCTCGTAGTGAACCACATCTACCCCACCCAGGGATCTAGGACAAGCCGGACGCTCCTCAGCAGTACAGGGGAAGCCTTTGGATTCTCTCCTGTAGAAATGGGTTGGGGGTGTGGTGAGGCCCCCCCAGATGCTAGCAGGGAATTTTGAACTCTAATCAGGAGCCACAGCGACCATAGAAACAGGGGCCTCACTCCAAACCAGCAGCTGCTCTGGTTCATGCCCTTGATCAGTTGTCTTCCTGCCCAAGCCACATGTACCACCTCCCTGCCTGCCGGAAGGAGTCACTGTCATTTCTTATACAGGGTAGACCTGTGCTGGGCACACTACACTGGCCTTTCCCCCCTTGGACTGCTGCCAGCTTTGTAAATAGTTTGGAAATAGCTGCATTGATCAGAATAATTTAAATTCTAACCAGGAAACACTTCCACATATATTTATGCTCAGAGTGGGTCACAGCAGGTGGGAGGTCAGACCCAGGACAGTATCTGACTGTCAGGGTTATTACCACCCTGGGCAGGAGCTCTTCACAGAGAGAGGTTTAGAGTGATTGCTTCAGAGTGAGTTTGAGCAGACACACAACCTTCACTTCCCCCACCATCCACTCCCAGCGCTGCCCCTTCTCTTGGTTATTTTTAACTTGGCATAAATACTTATGCCCAGACAGACACACTCTCCTTGAAGGTTACTCTCATTCATCTTAATCCCCCTTAGACAGAGGCTCTGCTTTTAGGGTTGTATTTTTAAGTAAATCATGGTTCTCTTTTCAAGAGGATATAAAGTGAGTTTTAAAAAAAAAAATGGTTTCCCACCAATGGGGGTGGCCCTTCCAGCCCCCCAGGAATGAGCAGGGAGTAGCCCAACATCCCAGAGGCTAAGTTCCCAGCAGCTATGAGACTTTAGGGCCAACTAGCCCTTCTGCAAACCACCCAGGAAGGGACAAAAAGGTGAAAGGTGGGTTATTTGCATGGAATGGTTTGTACCAGTTTTGTCTGTGCTGCTAACTGTGGAGCTTTTGGGCGCAAGGGCAGATTGGTAGACAACGCCTACAGCCAAGAAACCTGCTTGTGAAAACCCTCCTAAGGTTCCAGGCTAAGAGTTTGATTCCTATTGTTTTTAGTGTCATGGCAGTATTTGGGCCCCTGACTGCTCAAGACCACCCCATGGCCCTAGCTCTTTAAGCTCAAGTTGCCCCTCCCAGTCAATACATCTTTGTTCCCCCACACTGCCCCAGCAGTGAATGCAGCAGGAGGGACAGACTCCAGAAGCTGCTGTGCTGCTAAACTGTCCTCATATCAGCCCTTCTCCACCTACCAAACCCAACAGCCCAGAGCAGCCATCTTTTATCTGACTCATCATTTGATCCTCTAAATATAAAGCCCAGAGTGAAAGTGCTTCTAGGACTCATTTCTGTACAAAGCCGGGAGTTGGGGTCACTGCCCAGGACAAAAGTTCAATAGTAAAACTAGCACCAAGTGCTTCTGCTGTCTGTGCTGTGGTCCTCTCTCCAGCACGTTTTGGTGTCATTAGAGGGGTCAGCTCCACTGCAGCTCTGGCCTCTCTGGCTCAGGCCGACAAAGAAGTCCCTTTATCCGCAGGACAGGCTGCGGCAGCGCAACCTGCATGATTCACTCCTACAGTGGAGGAGGGAGTTCAGTCTTTGTGGCTCCTACCATTATTACACAGGCAGTTGGCCTGAGGCAACCCCCTTGGTGGGGTGATATGGTCATTTAGCCACTGTTGGTCTGGAGCAGGGCCTTAGAGATGAACAGCACCAAGCCCCACTCACAAGGGCTGGTTGAGGAGAGATTCCATAGTTTACTCAACCCTGCTAAGAATAGCATGAGAAGAATGAGGTGAGCGGAGGGGGACAAACCCAGGCTTCTGGCCAACTCCAGAGGGGAGACCCTTAAAGCCCCCCCTTCTGATGGGATTTCCAGCTTCAAACTGCTGTGCACCTACCTGCCTTAGCCAGACTCCAGAAGCAGCACAAGAAGATCACTCTTGTGCCATGGAAAGGGGGCCTCCAAGGTGCTTTGTACTAGGGGCAGAACTCCCACCCAGATGAGAATTAATTTGTAGGAAAGTGAGAATCAGGAAGAAATTTTTCTACTCCCCTCAACTCTGAAGAGGAAAAATTCTCACACACAGTTCCAAGTCCCTCTTTACATCTGTCTGGTGCAGGAGTCTCTGCAATCAACAGACTGGGACTCCAGAGCAGGGTACAGAACAGGAACTGCCTATTTAGTGGATGCTCCAGCCTCCTCGGGCATGTTCCCAGAACATGAGAACAGATGCTTCCCCTCCCTGCAATAAATCAGTCTTCCCAGCAGCAATGGAAGGAGAGGTCCTGGTATATGCACACGTTGTAGGGAGCAGGAAAGACACTAGCTGCTATCTCAGCCCCCTCCTGCTCTACACCTTTAGAAGCTTTGGGTGCTTAGATAACACAGGCCTTTTTAACCCAGCTTTCCTTTGCCCACTGCCGAATCAGTGACAGCCGCCAGCAGAAAGCAGCCTGTAATCTGTCTGAAATGAAGACAGGCTTCCAGCACGGCATCCAAGAGCTTTTACGCAGCACTGGAGAGGAAAGTACACCACACCAGCTAAACAATGCTCAGACTGGGGCCTGCTAAGCAGTTGTGGGTCCAGGACAGGGTTACCACAGCACAGAACCTCCCATCCAGGACAGGTTATTTGCACCAAGATAACAGGCCCAAGGGACCATGTGCTCTAAATACAGCTGTAACTAGTGCACTCCCCTCAGGCCTCTCTACTGACTGGTGGCATGAGCTGCTTGCACCTGGCAGGGGAGCTCTCAGTGCAGTCATTACTCTCAGCAACTGCAGTGGCTTAGCCATGCTGGATTGGATTGCCAGTCCCATTTCACACAGACAAGCATTTACAGAAACATGTTTAACGGTTAACTAGTGGTTACAGGGTATGCTTCTAAAGAGAACACATGTGCAGTCTAAAGGACAGACCACGCTTATTCCATGTGCAGGATTACCTTCCCTCCTGCACCACTCAACCTCCCTTACAAGAGAACCAGTCTACCCCACAGCTAGGGCTGCCCTCGAGGAGGAGGTTCACCCCTGTTCAGGGAGGTGAAGGGTCTCCAGTGGGTCAGCATTGGGACTAGGAAAGTTGCTGGAAGATAAGTTTACTTCCTCTTATTCCAAAAGCTACTACCATGAGAGTTCTATCCCAAGGTCAGAGGGAACAGGCTGGGCTTTAGCAGCCCCAGGTGGTGCAGCAGGAACTCGGAGCCAGCACTGAGCAGTGTCCTACAACACCACCCCTTAAGCAATGGGGTCCTATTGGTCTCACGGGGGGGGGGGGTGAGAGAATCACACTGGCACCAGTGCAAGAGACTGGTGGGTGTGACTATCCCCACAACACAGAAAGGACCATCCCATGGGCACCGCATGACACAGGGTGAAAGCACTTGCTCTGAGCTAAAGGGGCCCTCACTCTGGAGTCAGATCTTTCCCTTTGAAGCAAGTCTACCCAGGCACCCACCTGGGGAAGGAAGGAAATGGGCAGGTTCCTTGGCATCTCAGCACACCAGGGTAGATGCCCCACTGGCCAGGTAGGAATATCATTCCTACTCTGACCGGAGGGGGTGGGATGACACCATTTACCAAGCAGCAACATTAGAATGGGCAAGAATGGCTCCTCTCAGAAGACCAGGAGTCCGAGGCAACCAGTGGCCTTAGCCAAACATCTCCTGGGAGGCGTAGGTCATGTAGAGGAACCCGTCCTCATCTCGGTTTAGTGTGTACACCTCAGTCATGGTGAGTGACATGCTGACCAGGCTCCGGCTACCATCCACCAGCAAGTAGAACGACTGGGTAGAGCTGAGGGCCATCCTGTTCCTGGAGAAGCAAGAAGGCAGGAGAGCTGAGTCCCATCTGAAGGTAAGAAGGGAAAGCACTGACTGGTCTCCCCTGAGAGCACCCACTGCCTGCCTTGCCCAGGGGGGAACTGCACTACCTGGGCATTGCCTGCACTTGCTCACAGCCACCCCTGCACTTAACCCACAACAGCAGCCAAGGAGAACAGGGGTCCCCTACCCAGGGCATCCTGGAACAAGAAAGGGCTGTTCAGAGAGCTGCAGTCTCTGCATTAGCCTTTGGTAGCACCTCTCCCAAAGCTGTATGGCACCCCTGAAACACAGCCAGGGGCATCCTAAGGGGGCTAATGACTGCCCAGGTCACAGCACCCCCCCTATGGTGTCTCAGGTCAGAGACAGAAGCAGCACCTGGGGCACAGACACCAAGGGTGCAATACCAAGCCAGACCCCCACCTCCAATCACACACCTCCTCTCTTCTCTTACCGGATAATGGTCACAAACTGCCCCATGGTCAGCTCCTGAGGGACCAGGAACTTGGTTCTATCCAATGCTGGCAGCACCTTCTCCTTGGGGTACCGCTCCAGGATCACCTGGAAAACAGACACGTGGGAAAGGGAGGGAGGCAGCACCCCTCCCTGAGGCCACGCTGCTGAGATGGGCACCGCCCCCCAACCCTTTCCCTGCACCTGCGGAGTGGGGGGGGGGGGGGAGAGAAGAGGTGAGGGACTATTTCCCACGCAGTGGCTGGTGTCCTTGGCCCCAGGCTACACGCTAAGCGCCCCCCACGCCCTACCTCCTCCCGCCAAGCGGTCGCCCTGCCCACTCACCGGGAGTTTGCTGGGGAACTTGGAGCGGACCGCGGCTACTTCGCGTTTCCTAGTAGCTGGAATGAGAAGCGGACCCGGGAAGGAGGGTCACAGTCACGGGGGCCGAGCCAAGGCTTCCCCCAGCAGAGCCCCCTGAACATCGTGAGAGACCCCGCGCGGGCAGCACCCATTGAGATCTGGATACTCAGACGGACCATCCGGGCCGGGCCGGCCCCCCGCCGGGGGTGGGGCAGGGACAGGCAGACAGCCCGGAGCAGGTCTCCCCGCACCCCAGCTGCAGGGGGAGCTCCAGTCCAGCCCCCTTGTTTAGCTCCTGGGGCGGGGGGGCTCTCCGCTCCGAGCCCACAGAGGGGAAGAGGGCAGGGCACCCCGAGGTCCGCCCAGGGGCTTCCCCACAGGGGACGCCCTACCCTCGAATTCACCAGTCTCTCCCTGCAGGGACCCGCCCAGGGGCTCCTCTCTCACCGAAGCATTTCCGCTGCTTGAAGGGAGCGCGGGGCTCCCGGTTGCTGGTAACTGGCAGCATCTTGCAGGGTGCTGAGCGGGGCTCACCTACCCCCTGGAGCCCTTTAAATAGCGCCGCTTGCGCCGCAGCGCTGCTCCAGCTGCAGCAGGATCCCCCTGCAACTCGCCCCGCCCGCGGGGGAATCCCTAAGGCCAGGTCCCTGCTGCTACTGGGGAGCGCAAGGGCCCTGACGGGACTGGGGGCTCCTGGTGGGGAGCAGGGCACTGAAGCGGGGGGAGGGTTTTTCTTCTCTATGGGCTGATTTTGCTTCTGCTCAGAGAAGAGGGAGTCTGTTAACTGTACCCCCCCCCCCATGATGGGGATGGAAGCGGTTATCTGTTAATTGCCCCTGTCCTCTAAGATGGGGGAACAGAGGGGCCGAGGGGTCTTGTTAATTGCCCATGCCCCACATGGATGGGGGGTAGAGAGGAGTCTGTTAATTACCCCTGCTCTCTATGGTAGAGGGGTCAGTTAATTGCCCCCTATGATGGGGATAGAGGGGGATCTGTTAATTGTCCCCGCCACCCATGGATGTGCGATAAAGAGGGAGGTGTATTAGTTGCCCCTGCCCCCTGCGGTGCCCCCACCTCCGACACCCCATGCACGTCCAGCGGCTAGAGGGGAATTCGGCCGCATGGTTATTGAATCCCTTTGCCTGGCTCCGTAAAGAGCCGCAAGCAGGAGCCCACATGGCTGGGCCCCGGGGTGGAAGAGGGGGAGAGAGAATGGACGAACAAGCCCAGGCACGGACTCACAGTCACTCCCAAGGCCCACTCCCCCCGCCGGCCAAGGTGGGGTCGGGCCCGGGGCTGCTATGGGAGGTGTCGCTGGTCCGGGGCATGGGGAAGTGACCTGTCCCCAAGGGAGCTGGGGCTATATTTGGGGGAGAATCTGCCCCTCACTGGGGGAAGGATTTGGGGACATTGGCCCCTCGCAGGATTTGGATGGCATTTCACCCTCCCATGGGGTAATGGGGGCCTGTGCCCCCTATGCTGTATTCTGGGGGGTGCAGTGGGGTTATTTTACCCCTCGGGGTGTGTTTGCGGGTATTTGCCCCATAGTGCATTTGAGGGAGGGTCTAATGGGTTTTTGGCCCCCTGGTGCACGGGGGGGGGGAGGGGATACAGGATTTACCGTCTACTCCCCTTTGATCCTCACTTCGTTCTACGAAATGTTTTGCCCGGGTCGGACCCAATCAGGAGCCCGGGGCCTTTGGCCCCGCCCCCACGTGACTCTTTCAAAACCAGCCCCTTTGTTTGAGCTGCTGTGTGTGCTGAAAGTCCCTGGCAAGAGGAGCCGGTGGCGGCTTCTGGGGGTTGCCTCTGTGCGTCCAGCTCCCCCATGGTGCATCCAACTTATCATCCCTCAGCCTACTCCCGGTGCATGCGACTTACCAGCACCCCTGCTGCTGGTGGATGTAATTTACTCTCCCACCCATCCTGCCCCGTGCATGCAATTTACCCCCCTCCCGGCATCCTGCTCCTGCTTGCGGTGCACACTTCCCTCTGCAGCTGCTGTACCCGGTGAGTCCTGGTTGCTGCACCTCCTTCCTCGCCTAGTCGATCCTGCCCCTGGTGCATACACTGCCCCCAGTTCTATTTTTTTCCTATTCCCGGTGTATGTACCTCCCCAGGAGCTGCGCCCCCAGTCCCTTCCCCGGTGCAAGCCCCCACCCCCACCCCGCTGATCGGTGTCGCTTGCCCCGGCGGTCCTCATGGCCCGCAGAGCTGTGCCGCCCTCCCTCTGGTCCGGGAGCGACCGAGTGCGGATCGGGGAGCGGCTTCAGGCCAGCCTGGCCGGGATCCTGGAGCTGGGACTGCTGAGAGAAATGCAGAAGGGAACCGTGGAGAGCGCCCTGGGCATCGGGGACCCGGCGGGGGCTGTCCCAGGGGGACAGCGACAGGTGAGAGTTGGCGGGGGGGCGGCGGGAATGCATGGGCCAGGGAAGGGATTGTTGGGTTTAGTATGCGGGGTGGGGTGGTGCTGGTGGCCTGTGATATACAGGAGATTACATGATCTGGCCTTAAACTCTGTGACTCAGCGGGAGGGGCTGATTATGGGGGAGGGAAGAGTACAGGGGGCCAAGAGAGAGGAGCATGGGTAGCTGGGGTACAAGTAGGGGAACTTGAGCTAAGTGTATGGGATGGGGGCACAGGCAGGGTGTGTGGGGTACTGGGATATGGAAAGCTAAGGGGATGGGGATGGCTCTGGGTTAGGAGTGGGGTGTCGGGGAGGAACATGGGAGCTGGAGTAGGAGTAAGGGGGGAAGCTATGGTTGGTGTAACTATGGTGTAATTGGTGGTGTGATGGTGCAGGACTGGGGGTGTGATATGTAGGCTGAGGCATGAGTGAGGGGGCAAAGGGGTATGCTGGAAGGGAAGGGGCAATGGTTGCTGTGACCATGGGGAGGTTGGTTGCAGGGTTAGGGTCCAGGGGAGTTCTGGGGGCACAGGATACAAGTGGGGGAGCTGGAGGGCTCAAGGGCTTTGAGCAGGCTGGCATCCCCAGGACTCTGCCCTGGGATAGTGTGTGCCCCAGTTGGAGAAAAAAATTCTTTTTGCAGCAAGCAAGCCAGGAAAGCTCCCCAAATGCAACAACTTTCAGTCTGTGGAACAGCCCTGTGGGCTGCCAGCCCAGACCCAAGCTGTGCCTCTCCAGCCCTATGCCCTGCCTCTGGGAGTGGCTCAGATGGTTTAAGGGAAGGCACAAGAAACTCCAGTGTGGAGGACTATGTTCTGCCCATGAGGAACCCCCTGCTCCCTTAGGGGCTGGGTTGTGCCCTGAGGCTGAAGAGTCTGCATCCCTTATAGCCTCTTCTCCTGTCTGACTTACCTGGACATGTTCCCATTATCCACAGATGTGTCCAGCCCTTTTGTGAATCCTGCTAGGCTCTTGTCCCCAGTCATAGCTTGTGGAAGTGAGTTCCACAGACTAATTCAGTGCTTGTTTCCTTTCTTTGGTGTTAAATGTATTGCCTCTTTAATTTCACTCAATGTCTCTTTGTTCCTGCATCAACTTTGGGGGTAAATGGAGTCCCCAGTCTGCCTTCTCTATGCCAGTTACTATTTTGTGTAACTCTCCGATGTCCCTTATCTGAACTAAACAGCCCCAGTCTCTTCCAACTTTCCTTAGACTGAAGTCTCTACCTGTCTTCTAATTCTGGTTTGTATTTGCACCCCTCCCAATTCCACTTCCTCCTTTTTGTGGATAAAGTTTGTGTAGAATGTGGCATGTGGAGGAGTTGGTAGGTTCATAGCCTGATGCTGGACAGCTTGTTTTGTGAGTTGTTTCTTATAAATTCTCTTTAGCCACTGCTTGAATGCAGCCACGTCTGGTGTGGGCTGGTGCAGCTTATCGAACAGCACATTGCAATGCTGCTCAACAGCTTAGGAGAGGAAGGAAAAGAGAATCCATGATCCCTCTTAGACTGTCTCGTCATATAGGATGTATGCAGTGTTGTAGTCATATTGGTCCTAGGACATTAGAGAGACAAGGTGGGGGAGGTAATATCTTTTATTGGACCAACTTCTCTTGGTGAGAGAGACAAGCTCTTCTTCAGGTCTGGAAAACATACTCAGAGTGTCACTACTAAGTACAAGATGGAACAGATTGTTTAGCGTAAGTAGTTACATATTTCAAGGCACCATTCAAGGTGAAGTGGCCTGTTAATGACTTATGCTAAACAATCTGTTCATTCTTGTATTTAGCGGTGACACTCTGAGGCCATGTCTACACTACAGAATTATAGAGCTACCACAAGTAATTACTTCGCTTGTGTGTGTCTATGCCAGGGGTCAGCAACCTACGGCACGTGTTCCAAAAGCGGCACGTGAGCCAATTTTTACTGGCACACTGCTGCCAGCCGGGGTCCCAGCCACCGGCCCCGCTCAGCCCCCTGCCTGCTTGGGTGAACGGAATCCTAGGCTGGCAGTGGGCTGAGTGGGGCTGACAGCCAGGACCCCGGCTGGCAGGAGCCGGCGGCCGGAACTCCAGACCATCAGCTGGCTGAGCTGCTCAGCCCGCCGCCTGTCTGGGGTTCCGTCTGCCGGCCCCACAAAGCTAGCTGCTGGTGTAGGGTTCTGGCCGCCGGCCCCTTGCCAGCCGGGGTCCCGGCCCAGCTCAACTCGCTGCTGGCCTGAATGGCTGGAACTCCAGGCCGGCAGCGGGCTGAGCGGTTTAGTGCTCTGCTGGCCTGGGGTTCCATCTGCCGCCTGTGCTGCCGGTCTGGGGTCCCGGCTGCCAGCCCCGCTCATCCCGCTGCCGGCCTGGGTGAACGGAAACCCAAGCTGGCAGCGGGCTGAGCGGGGCTGACGGCCAGGACCCCAGCTGGCAGGAGCCGGTGGCCGGAACTCCAGACCGTCAGCTGGCTGAGCCACTCAGCCTGTCTCGGGTTCCGGACGCCGGCCCCGCTCAGCCAGCTGCCGGCCTGGGTGAACGGAAACCCAGCCGGTAGTAGGCTGAGCGGGGCCAGGACCCCGGCTGCCAGGAGCTGGCAGACAGAACCCCAGACTGGCGGCAGGCTGAGCCGCTCAGCCTGCTGCCGGTCTGGGGTTCCGGCTGCCGGCCCCTTGCCAGTGGGGTCTCGGCCCCGTTCAGCCCGCTGCTGGCCTGGATGGACAGAACCCTGGGCCGGCAGTGGCTGAGCGGGGCGGACGGCCGGGACCCCAGCTGGCAGGGGCCTGCGGACAAAACCCCAGACCAGCAGTGCGGGTCGCAGACGGAACCCGAGACCGGCAGCGCGCTGAGCCGTTCAGCCCACTGCCAGTCTGGGGTTCTGTCAGGAGCCCCTGTAAATGTACAATTTATTTTGGCATGGGAAACCTTAAATTACTGAAGACTTGGCACGCCACTTCTCAAAGGTTGCCGACCCCTGGTCTATGCTTTGCGCTTTGTGTCTGTGGTGCATGTTCTCCCCAGGAGCGCTTGTATCGTTTATACTGTCAGCGTGGGGCCGCTCCTGAAAGCCAGTAACAGTCGACATGAGCAGCACAATGTCTACACTGACACTGCGTCGACTGACTACATCGACCGTGACTCTACGCCGCTCGTGGAGGTGGAGTTTTTAATTCAGCATAGTGGGGCAGTTACATTGGCAGGAGTGAAATTTAAGTATAGACACTTCTATAGTTAGGTTGACATAAGCTGCCTTGCCTCAACCTAACTCTGTAATGCAGACCAGACCTGAGTCCGTTTCCCAGACCTGAGGAAGAGCTCAGTGTAGCTTGAAAGCTTGTAACTCTCCCCAGTGGAAGTTGGTTCAATAGAAGATATTACCTCACCCATCTTGTCTCTTGTCATATAGGAGGCAGCGTTTTGTGCCTCCCTCATCTGCCCTGTGCCACAGGACCTAACTAAGGGGTGGTGTGTGCTCTGCCGTACTGGGGCTGCTCTGTTTGCGTTTCTCAGCCTGCTTTGTCTGGAATGGATGTGCCCTCGTTTGTACAGTCAAAGCCCCAGGACAGGGGAGTTGGAGGCTTGTGGGGCTTCAGGGGAATTCTTGGCATCTCTTCTGACTCTGTTTGTCCTGAGGCTGGGAGCTGAGCTGCAGGGAGGGGGATTCAGGCCTAGGCTGCTGACCTGGCTTTGGCAGGTTGGTCTCTGTGGATTTGGCTTGCAGGGAGGTGGGCGTTGGCTGGCCAGGCCCTGTGTGTATTAGAGGAAACAAACCACCTGTTGTTTACAGTGCTCACTTGCTTCCTGCCTGGCTATCCTCCCAGCTCAGCTCTGCGCTGGCGTGGGCAGTGCCAGCTTCTCTGTCGGAACCGGAGTCTTCTCCTAATAAAAAACGGGGGAAACGTCAACTAGCCAGCTCCAGTGTAAACTAACCCTGGGACAGGCAGCAGGCTCCTCCCTCCATCCCTGCCCTGCACACCTGGCATGCAGGGGGAGGGGAAATAGGGGAGAGCTGCCCCAGGGCAGCCTGGCTGGTGCATGCCTGCTCATGCATAGTAATGCACACAGCTGTGCCTGTACTGGGGGGAAGAGGATATCTGAATAGCTGGGAGTCAGCGACCTGCCCCCTCCCAGGGACAGCAGTGAGGCCAGACCTGGCTTTCAGGACCAGCCTGGCTTAAGGCCAGCAGAGGCTTTGAATAACCAAATGGGTTGGGTGGAGGCATTGAGTCAGGGGCAGGTGGCAGAAATATCAGTGTGATCTGGCCGTTCTCCAAGGTGAATGGTGCATGTGTGGACCCTCCATGCACACCCTGGGCACCCCAGCAAGCCCCTGCCTGCACACCCCGAACCTTGAAATCTTGTACATGCCCCCTCCGCTCTGCCTGTGTGGAGCATGTGTCTCTCTCTGCTTCAGTAGGTAAGATGGAGGCGGGGGAGGGCTCACACAAAGGCAACAGCTGCCCAGCCTGGGAGGGATGGAGCTGAGCTGAAAGGCAGAAAGGGGCCTCTGGGCTCATGTTTCACTCCTGCCGCCAGCTTGGCTCTGGGGCCCGCCCCCCTCTTCCTCACAGGCTTCCCTAGCCTGGCTGTTAGTGGGTCTTGGGGGAAGTCCCATTCCTTCCCACCCCCCACCCCCATGCAGGAGAAGCCAGGCATGTGGGACAGTAGGGATGATGCTATGGCGCATGCTCCCTAATGGAACAGGTCACTGTGGCTGATGCTGGGGGCCGTGGGGCAAGGCCTGGGTGTATCTGGGGCCATAGGCTGTGGTGGGTTGGAGGGAGCAGCACCTGTTTTCCACTGTGATTTCCCCCTCACCACCATATTGCCTCACTGTTTTTTTACCCTCTTGAACCCCAGAGTCCAATAAAACCTGAGCCAGCCCCTCCTCTTGGGGGGAAGCCACGGGGCCCCCCAGCTCCACGTCAGCCAGGATACAGATCTGCAAACATCTCTGGGGTAAGAATGACAGGGCCAGCCTCCTCCCCCCGCCCATGGAGGAAGGGGGATGGATGGGAGGTTGAGGTAAAGTGCAGGGAGCTGGGGAAGGTTGTGATCTTATCAGTACTTCTAGTCACCAGCCTGGGGTCAAGGTGCATCATCCCTTGGCCTCCTGAACTCCTCACCTGGCTGTGGCTGCTGCTGCTTCCCAGTTCCTGGGGTGGGCAGGGAGGCCCCTGCCTTCCAGCTCTCGGGCTTACTGTTACCGCCACAATATTGATGCCCAAGAAGAACCGGATTGCCATCTACGAACTCCTTTTTAAGGAGGGAGTGATGGTGGCCAAGAAAGATGTTCACATGCCTAATCACCCAGAGCTGGCAGACAAGAATGTGCCCAACCTCCATGTCATGAAAGCCATGCAGTCACTGAAATCACGTGGCTACGTGAAGGAGCAGTTTGCTTGGAGGCACTTTTACTGATATCTGACCAATGAGGGTATCCAGTATTTGCATGATTATCTTCATCTTCCCCCTGAAATTGTGCCTGCCACCCTGCCCCGTAGCCGCCCTGAGACTGGCAGACTGCGGCCCAAAGATCTGGAAGGTGAACGCCCTGCACGTCTTACTCGGGGAGAGGCCGACAGAGATACCTACAGACGCAGTACTGCTCCACTTGGTGCTGACAAAAGGGCTGAGGCTGGTGCAGGAGGAGCTACTGAATTCCAATTTAGAGGTGGATTTGGTCGTGGAAGTGGTCAGCCTCCTCAGTAGAATTCTCTGATCATGTTTTTGTGTATAATAGGTGAAAATCTAAAAAAGAAAAAAAGTGCTGTCCGGCGGGGAGAGAGCTAAGACACTCTGTGCTGGGGGTACAGTGGCCAAGCTGTATGCCACCCCCACACCTGGGGGGAGATTGGGAGCAGCTTGCCCTCCCTTAGCTTCCCATCCATTGAAGATGCCTCCAGGCTGTTTTCCAGCTAGGGATGTGTCTAAAGCTGCTGCAGGGGGGAACATCTGCATAGGTGGAGGAAGCCTTGCCTAGTGGGTTGAGCATGTGGCTGTGTGCAGGACTCCTGGGTTCCCTTCTCAGCACTGCTGCTTGGTCTGTGCCACCTGGGGCAGGTTCTGTCTCTGCCTGTCACTGTAAGGGAGGCTGATGCTGCCTGACACCCCTGGGAGCTGTGGGGGCTAATGGGCAGGGTGCTCTGAGCCTGGAAAGCGCCAACAGTAGCTTTGCAGAGCTCACTCAGCAGTGGGCTCCCTTCTCCCTTGGGCAGCTGCTCTGGGGCAGGGCCGGGCTCCTGGCTCATTGGGGCACTGGAGCCTAGACATGCCACACAAGCTGCAGCTTAGAATTGGTTTAAAACCCGATAGGGCTAAACCGACACCGCACGTGTGTGCGGACGCAGGAAACTGGTTCTGTCCCTTCAGCCTGCTCCTGTAAATGTGCCTTCAGCAGTGACACCATGCTGAGCCAAGTTTAAATCAATGGGAGGCCATGCCTGCAGCACCGATCGGTACCTCAACGCCTTAGTTCAACCTGTGCCACTCCCTGTGTGGACCAGAGCTTACTGGAGTGCAGTGCCAGCACAAAGGGGGGAAAGGGGCCTGCTCTCCAGGGGGGAGGAAGGGTCCTCTGCAGTGATGGGGCGGGGGGTGATCTCGGAAGGGTTCCGGGAGTCTCTGTGGTGCCCAGAACAGTGATTGAAGGGAGCCCCCTCAATGGGGGAGGGTTCTCTGTGTGATGGGGGCCCTGATCTTGCTCAGGTAGCGGGGTCTATTCAGTGCCCAGCAGGCCAGGAGGAGGGAGTCTGGGGTAGAGTTGGGGGCCTGTGCAGTGCCCAGTGCCATGGAGGAGGCCCAGTCGTAGTTGGGGCTGTGCTCTGCCAAGCTCCTTGCAGAGACACAGAGCTGGGGCTGGCCCTGGATGCCAGGGCCCTGAGTGGCTGGTGGGTTTGGTGGCTGCTGGCATCTCTCTGACTAACCCTGTTCATGCTTCTGCCACAGCAGGGATGGGGCAGTCTGGGGGCTAAGGAACCACTGCCCCCAGCTAAGCTGGACCGGAGCAAGTCTGAGGACCTGCTGGGCATCCCTGAGAAGCCATGTGTCTCCTACTGTTCCTCTGAGGGCATCGATGTGGGACGCCAAGCCGGGAACAGGGACAGCAGAACGCCAGCGACGAGCCTGGCCTTGAGAACCACCGGCTCCAGCGAGCAGCTGCTGCTCCCCAAGAGGCCCAGGGCACAGACAGAGCTTAGCTTCACTGCACCAGAGACCTCAGAGGCCGACTCCAGGCCCAGCTCAGGTATGTCCGGCAGGGGTTGGGCCCTGGCAACCAGGAGCGACAAGGCACCAGGGCCTGCTCAACCTGGGTGGAGTGTGATGCGAGCAGAGGCTTCGAGCTGGGCCATGTACCCTGTTAGGATCATCCTCCACAACCCAGAGTCCTTGGGACTTGTTAGTGGGGGACTCGGCAGGAGGAGAGACCCATCCTGTTCGGGGCTGGCGAGGGGAGAGATAAGGACAACCGGTCCCCTGCAATGAATCTCTCCTCTTGCCCCAGGGTTCTACGAGACCAGCGAGATGGGCTCCCTGTCCAACTCCTCCACGTCCATGCACAGCGAGTGCCCAGGAGGCTCGCACTGCAGCGTCGGTTCCCTCTCCCACCTCCCAGGCCTACGGGACAGTGGCTGTTCACGGCCACACTCCACTGACGAGGCCACCGTCCGGCTTCTCGACCTCCGGCTGCAGCGGGTAATGGGACCCAATGCTCCCAGCAGCCCCCATGCTGCTGCCAGGAGACCAGTCTCAACAGGTAAGAAGGAAACGGCCAGCTCAGGGTGCGGAGCCCTGCTGCCAACCAGTAGGATCCTGGGAGTAACAAGGTGGGAGCATGACCCTGAACCTGGCGGGGGGAGCTGACTGATTCTAACTTCCCCATTCCCACAGGGGCTCTGGACACCCTGCCAGGTGCCGTTGATGCCCCCAGACCCATGGCAGGGTCAGTGCAGGACTGTCCCATACTGCCCGTTCTCTGATTTTCTGCATCCCAGGCAGGGGTGGGGCCTGCCTGCTCCCCACTGCCTCACAGATACTCCAGGAGCATTGCGCTGAGTTGTCACAGATCTCAAGACCAGGAAAGTGCTGGACAGCCTGGCCCAGGGACTCCTGTATGTAGCTTGCCACTCATGGCTGAGCTAGAGCATGCCTACAAGGCCTGGTCTGCACTAGAAGGCCTCAGCAGTGTAAAACCCCACCCCCTAACCAGTGTAGCTCGCCCCAGTGCAGCTGCAGTTATACCAGCATAAAGGTGCTGTACCCCAGGAGAGTTTATTCCAGGAACAGCTAAACCAGGTCAGTGTAACCACATCCCCACTGGGGAAGGGATGCTCTATGCTTTCACTACACCAGTGTGGCTACAGTGAACAAGGCCTTAGAATCCTGGGCTTAATTTACAGCCCCCACCCCATGTCCCACTCTCCCTTGTGATGGGAAATCAACCATCTCCCTGGGTCTGTTCAATGGCTAATCACTCTCCCTTTTAACAATGTGCTTTCCATCTGGTCCGAGGCCAGGTCTGTCGCTGCCGGTGTAGCTATCCCCATAGGCTGTCCCTGTGTACTACACCAGCAAAACACGCTGAGCGTGGCTGCACCGTAGACTGGCAAAACGGCTCTTGTCCCGCAGCACCAGCGAGATCTACCACTACCCCTTTTGCCAGTAGTTTATTCCAGCCCCACCGAGCGCACACAGCTCTACTGGCAAAAGGCCTTTTTTGGGTGGCAAAACTGCAGCTATGCTTGGGCTTTTGCTGGCACAGCTATGTTGAGTGAAAGATGATTTTTTTCACCCTTCTCCCTAACAGAGCTGTGCTGGCAAAAGCCATAGTATAGACACAGTTATATCAGCTAAAAAGGCATCTTGCTGGGGAAACTGATTTTGCTGGGGAAACTGGTCTAAGCTGCACCTCCACTAGGAGGAACTGCTGGGGTAGCTATGCCTGTATATCTGTACCAGCTGACCCCTCCTAGTGGGGACAAGGCCCTGGTCTCAAGGCAGGTTTTCAGCCCTCGACTTGTTCTCCTAGCTCTCCTCTCAACCTGCTTTGTTGCCCGGGGATCCCTGCCAGTGCCCGTGGTCACCCCTAGGTCACCACTTAGCCAGCTGTGTCCAGCTCAGATACTGGGTCCAGTTTGGTACAGCCAAGCCCCATGTCATGCCAGGAATATTGGCCCAGGCACCTGGTGTCCCCTGCCAGGCCAGAGCCTGTCTCTGATCCAGGGTGCCTGCTCTCTACTCTCTCCACAGGGGACCTGGAGTTCCTGCTGAGCCTGGGTGAGCTCTCTCCAGCCTTCCCTCAGCTCCTGCAGTACAAGTGCGACCTGGTGTCCCGCAGCACCAGCGAGATCTACCACTACCCCAGCCCGCTGCATGCCGTGGCCTTGCAGAGCCCACTCTTTACCAGTGGCCTGTCCCGAGGCCCATCCCAGGAGGACCTCAGTGAGCGGGCAGCCATCCACACTGTGCAGGAGGGCTCTCCCCAGAGTGGGACAGCCCCCTCAGAGGAGCAGCGCCAGGTCCAGCTGGACCGTTACATCGCCAAGCTGGTGCTGAGGTACAGGTGTCGGTCGGCAGCTAGCCGCACAGAGCCTGGCTACCTGGCAGGGCACCAGAAGAGCCAGTCCATGTCATCGGTCTGTGGCTCCCCGCTGGGAGCTGGGCCGCTCCCCGGCTGGAAAATCCGCAGGCGCATTTCTACCTGCTCCCACCTCCGCTCTCCAGAGGGGCCCGACAGCTCCCAGGCCCTGGACGGCCCAGGGGGCCGGGGCTCCACTGCCTCCTCTGTGGGGTCCAGCGAGCGTTCAATGGGGTTGCTCCTGGAGCAGCTCTCGCTGTGCCGGGAGCAGCCAGAGGGAGTTGGCTGGGCCGAGGCCTTGTCCTGTCATCCCCATGTGGTCAGGGTCAAGGCCTCCTCCAGGAAGGCCCTTGGCACTGAGCGGGAGCGGCTGTACAAGGGTAAGCATGCCTCGCGGGAGTTGGTGAAGGCAGGCGAGGGTGCGGAGCGCAGCTGGCTCAGCCCACGGGAGCTGCTTCGCAGGATCAGCCTCCGGCGCAGGCCAGCTCTCCGGGCAGAGGGCGGGAGCCGCTGCAGCTCAGAGGTGAACGTCCGCACGCCAAGGCCTGTGTATCGCTGCAGCTCCCAGCACTGCCTGGAGCCCCCGGGCAGACACAAGTGGGCATCTGTCCTGGAGATCTCCAGCCAGGCCCTGGGGAGGCCGAAAGCCGAGCCCTTCCCCCCACCAAGCCGCCAGTTGGCCTTCTCCACAGACTCCTGTTTCCCTGATGGCAGCCAGCTGGAGCTGCAGCCACAGCGGGCTGAGGGCAGCAGTGCCTCCAGCCTCAGTGAGGTGGATGCTGTCAGCCTGAATGGGGATTGGCGACTGCGGCAACTGGGCCCACCCAGGGCCCGCCCGCTCCATGCCTCTGCCACACTGGATTCCAGCAACCTGGCCATGGCCAGCTTCAAACTACACAGGACCCGCTCCTTCAAGGAGCTGAAGAGGATGGTGAGCCGTTCCCTCAGGCCTCTGGCTCCCAAGGCCAGCGGAGCCTCCAAGTGACCTCCTCTGGCTGCAGGCTGCTCCCAAAAACCCTGTGGCAAAACCCCCAGCTAGCCCCATCCTTTGGGGGGGACCCCGTTTACTGGGACTGCCTCCTCCCCACAGTCTCTTCACCGTCCCCTCTTCATGTCTCTTCTCTGTGGTAGACAGCTGACTGGAATTGGCAGGGCCTGGTGCTTCACCCACCCTGATCGCCGACAAGTTGGGGAGGGGATTTAGAAGCAGCCCCTGCCCAACGCTGGCAGAGCTGCAGTGACAAGGCTGGCACAGGGGCACCCTCTCCCTACAGTACGAACAGGCCAGAGCAGCCTTCTCCCTGAGAGGCAGGAAGCTTGAAATGGCCCCCCAACTTCTAAGGGTGGGATGGGGCAGGAGTCACACTGGGCTCTAGGGACTGTATCTGGGCCCCTAGTGTGGGCTTGAAATCAAATGTTCAACAGGTACCATAGGCCCCTCCGTCTCCCATAACCTAGGTGTGTCTAGGTGCTGTTGTCTGCCCAGCTGCAGCAGGCAGGCGTTCTGTGTAGGAGGAGCTGCCTGGGTCTGGCTGCACCAAGGAGCCTCAATTGCTGGTGTCAATTCTAAGTGAAAAAATAAAAATAAAAAATGAATGTGAAGGATTTGGAGGGTGTTTTAGAACTGGGGAGGGGGGGGATGTCTGCTGGCCTGGGAAGGGCAGTGCCCCACTCGTGTTAAATGCTGGCCAAGAAGGCAGCGGGTGCTCTCTCTCTCTGTCCATGCATAGGCTGTTTTATGAGCATGGGTGCTCACATGCAATCCTTCCCTGGCTGTTACAGCCAAGCCCTGCATTTTGTTAGCTGCTGTGGCCTTAGCCTTGGCTGGGGGTGCAACCCAGTCAGCTGTTGGCAAAATCCCTGTGCACTCCCTACCTTAATGCCTCCAGCTTACCAGGGGAGATAGGATAGGATCCTTGCTGTTGTTGGGAGGACTTACCCTAAGGGCAGCATTTAGAATAAGTCCAGGCAGCACCTGTGGAATGGCAGCAGGGGGCTGTGAACTGGACCCCCTGCTCTATTTCATGCTGCTGCTGCTTGTCAGATGCTGCTTGTATTAACCCCATGCCAGCTGCCTCCATGCTAATAACTCCCCCTCGGAGCCCAGCACTTGTCCCTGGAGCTGGGAGGAAACCCCAGCTGTAAGGTGCTTCTCTAGGTGAAATTCAGTAGCCTCAACCTGTGCCATCACATGGGGTTTATCAGGTGTGTGGGCCCAGGGGCTGGCCTGCACAAGAGAGACCTTCCACTGCTTTCTCACAGGCTCCTTGCACCCATGGCTTGGCCTTCCTGGCCCTTGCTTCATCACTCCTGCTGGTGCCCTGTTGGCTTGTGCATTAATTCTGAGCCTAGGAGGGAGAGGAGAAAGACCCACCAACAGTAGTGCTGCCCTCCCTGAACCTCTCAGCTGCACATCCCCTACTTGGGGAGGGGTTGGCTGTTGCTCTTAGAGAAAAGGGAATAAGCAAGGGGGATAGTAAAGGGTGGCCCCATTACTGCATGAGGTAGAGTCACAGACTGTTTAAGGCCACAGCAGGCAACTGGATCATCAGGCATGAGGCACAAACTCGAGCAGTTCACTGCATTGAATCCAATACCTCTTGACTAAAGCATCTTCCAGACAGGCAGTCTGAGAGTCTGGAAACCTCAGGAGATGGGGGAATCTACCCCCTACTTGGGAGTTGTTCCAATGGTAAATCACCCTCCCTAGGAAAAATGTGGCCCTTAATCAAGTCACCTCTTTACTAAACAGAGTGAGCACCGTCAGTTTCTCTGGGTTAGGCACTTCTCTCGCCCTCAAATAGAGTCTGTGGCTCTTCCCTGCATGCTGGCCAAGGCCCTGCTTAAAATGTGTATCACAAAACTGGATGCAGGATTCTGGGATCAGTCTCCCCAAGGCCACAGCTAGGCAGCTTGTTGGGCGTATAGAGGAGAGGAGCGTGGCCTTTCTGAGATATTGTGTAATGACCTGCTGGGCTCTGCTACAGCTGCAATACCTTTTCCCCCATTTCATGGGGCTGCAGGGTGCTGGAAAGAGGCATCCACTTCTCCAGTCAGTTATTTATTTCTCCTGCATGAGCCTTGCCCTGTTCTGCACGACACCACACAGAGGAGGGAGAGAACTTGGCCCTGGCATGAGCCATGGCACCTGCTTCACAGTGGCACAGCCAGCAAGGGCAGGAGAATCGCTTACCTGCTCAGGAAGGGAACTAGGAATGTCCCAGGCTTGGGTTTGGCCAGGGCAGACGGAGCACAGCGCATGTAGGGACTGGGCTGTACAATGGCTGACCTACAATGCAGAGGCCTTGGCTACATACAAACTGGTTGAATTAAAGTGCAGCAAACCCTGGGTGGAGTGCTCTTGGCAGCTCCTAATCTGCTTCAGCTGCACTGAAACTGGAGTGTCCACATGGAGCTCTGCAGCTGTTCAAGTGAACCAGTCTTCACTGGTGTCACCCTCTGTGCAGACAGGCCCCCTTGGCCCCAAACCCTGATCAAGAGAGGCTGTGCCCCCGTAGCTTGGCTGCCAGGGACCTTGGACCCATTCTGCCCCCGTTCCCACCCCAGCCCCTGCTCCTGTCCCCTCTTCTGCCCCAGCCCCCGATTCTGGCCTTGTTTAAAACAAAACACAACAATCTTCCTGTAGTCCCTAGCGATCGTTGTCAGGCAATCCCACAGCCTTATCTAGCCCCTGGGAGCCCGGGGCCCTGGCTTCACATTACCTGGCCATGACCCCAGTCACAGCCTCACATCCCTGTGGCAGATGCCAAGACGCGGGGTGGTGGAGCAGGTCCCTGCTCCTGGCTGGGTTGGATCAGCTTGTCACCTGAGAAACCTGCACTTCCTACCTGGAGTGGATCCCTGGCTCTTCCCTCCTGCCTCTCTGCCCTCTGGGGCTGACTCCAGCAGGCCAGGTGGAGGGGCTGCTGCACCAGGCACGCTAGTGGAGGAGGCTAAGCCCAGCTCTCAGGACAGGACAGAGGTGGTTGGGGGTCACCCTCTAGGATGGAGCAACGCCATGCACTGGCCTCACCTTAGTACTCTTTAGCCTGGGCCCTGGGGCTGAGAAGCTGGGGCAGCACCAGCAGTTTGCTGGTGACTTGGTGTTTGCACATTGCAGGGAGAGGAGGGACGAGAGCAAGGGGGGAGCTCAGAAGAATCAACAGTCCCATTTCCCAGCTGTCGGCAGCCTGGGGGGAGCTGTTTGCTTAAGCAGCAGGGAGGAGCCAGGGCGTGTGGATGGCAGGAATGAAGGATGTTTGCTAGGATGGGAGGGCTAGGGGAGGAGGAGTCAGGCTTGTTGCAGGACCTGACAAAACCGAGCCCTTGGGAAAGAAGCCATGACCCCCCCAGAGCAGATCTCCCACCTGGCTGCTTGGAATGAGCCAGACAGTGTAGGCTCCAGGCCCAGCTCTGATATGAGCAGCCAAAATGTCAGAACCTGAAATGCAGCTGCCCCCAGGGCCGGCTCTACTGTCTTTGCCACGCCAAGCAGTGTGGGGGCAGTCAGTGTGCTGTTAGGGCGGCACAACGCGCTGGCGGAATTCGGCGACCGCTTCTGTCTTCAGCTGGAAGACAGAAGCTGCCGAATTGCTGCCGCAGGCAGCTGAACATAGAAGCTGCCGCCAGATTGTTGCCGCCGCCATGGAAACGTGCCTGCTGCCCTAACGGCACACGGACTGCCCCCAATGTCTGCGGCGGCAATTCGGCGCGCTGCTTGGGGCGGCAAAAACACACGGACTGCCGCCCCAAGCACCTGCTTGGAATGCTGGTGCCTGGAGCCGGCCCTGGCTGCCCCCACCCCTCATTTCTATCTGAACAGCTGTCGTTGGGGCCTCAGGGGAGCATAGCGTGGGAAGGGTATGATGCACCTCTGCAGTGGGGGGGCATAGTGCAGGCACCAGTGCAGCGTGTGCCCTGTCAATGGGATAAGCCACCTCCCTGCACAGTCCCAGTCTAATCCAGGCCCCTCTGCAGCGTGTGTAAAGCATGCAGTCACTGCATGAGCCCCAGTGCTGCAGGCAGCTGGCTGCAGAGAGGGTGAGGAAAGTGGAAATTACTTATCAGAGGGGTAGCCGTGTTAGTCTGAATCTGTAAAAAGCAACAGAGGGTCCTGTGGCACCTTTGAGACTAACAGAAGTATTGGGAGCATAAGCTTTCGTGGGTAAGAACCTCACTTGTTCAGATGCAAGAAGTGAGGTTCTTACCCACGAAAGCTTA